GGACTCTACCTACAGAGCTCACAGCTGAATGGAGAAGCAAACCAGAGGCTGTAGATGGTCGAATCCTAACATTCCTGGTGTCTGAGTATGCCATTTGTAAAACTAATAACCAAGGGAATGACAAGTATTTCCTAACTTTTAAAGTGATAAAACAGTAATGTGGGGCTTTGGAACGGTGGAGGGAGATTAGGCAGTGCCAGATGGGGGAGGAGCACAGGTTGAGGGTTGTCCTGTGCCTGTGGGTGGTGGTGGGGTCAGCTGGACAGTGATGGAGATTTGTCAGTTGTACTTATTTATGGAGTACAATATGAGAATTCCATCCGTGTTTACAGTGTAGAGACAAAATTGGAGTGATCCACTTTTCCAACAGCAGTGGGTAGTTTGCATTTGACATAGGCTTCTGAAAGGACTTCTGCTAATTGACAGGGTCGGGTTAATTCTGTGACAAGCTGGGGCACTTAGGTCTGATGATAGCAGCGCTCTGCTAGGTTTGAGTGGTGTGGATGGAACTCTGCCATGAAGAATCATTTATGGAGTGCCTCCCGGGTAATCACGGTCATGGCTTCTGGCTTTAGCATGTCACCTTAGTGACAGATACCGAAGCCCTGACTAGAGGCTGGAGTTGGTCGGCTAAACATCAGGGACTTTGTGGAGGTAATGCTAACAGGAGGGTGATGGTGAGAGAAAAGCAGAGACTTTAGGTCTAGACTGATAAGACAGGAGTCCAAATGTGCCATTTCCTTGACACGTGACCTTGGACAAGCCTCGCAACCACCCAGTGCCTTCAGGTTTCTGTCTGCAAGATGAAATCAATGATTCCCACTTTATGGGGTTGTAAGGACAAAGCTATAACGTAATAGACACCGAAGCTCCTTGTAAGACTGAGAGATGTTCGATGCATCTTGTTACTGTACTGACATTACTGTTATGCTTCCCCCCCCCCATAGCTTTCTCTCCTTAGAGTAGAGATAACCTTGGCCCCAAAGTCGTAAGAATGAAATAAACAAAATATGGGGTCTCTGGTAGTGGGAGCACGCCCTAGTCTATCTAGGGGAGGCAGAGTCACTAGATGCTCACCTAGGATTCCACCCACCACTGTCCTGGACCCTAGCTCCATGTGGTCTTGGCAGGAGGGTGCTGGAGCATATGGAAGTAGAAGAGTGACTAGCGGGAAGTGCTCCATCCATGCAGCTCCTACGAGGTCGTCATCCATGATGGATGGGACTTTGTGGTGTGATGTCACCCGCGCTCCTGTAAGTAAGCCCAGAAAACACATTGGCTCATTAGTCTGGCTTGGATGATTGTTACTTGGCCTGTTGTAGGTACCCTGTCTGAAGTGAGAATGTCTTTCCAGGAAAAACAATTCAACCTGTGCCCACCTCAGGCAGTTCCCTTCCCTAATCTCAGATTTGTCTCTGGTTGTCTAGGAGCTCACAGGGCTTAATAGGAAGCGCAGTATTTAAACTCCACTCTTGAAAGGTCAAATTGCAGAACTTCATCTTTTCTCTCAAGAGTGTCAGGGAACAGGGATGACATGAACTCAGACCTTGAATAGTCAGACACAAGGGGCTCGATGAGAAGTCAGTGATGGGAGGTGCCGCGCAGATCCAGACTAGTTTATTCTTAACTCCTATTGAGAGTTTTAGTTACTTGAAGGGTTGAAGTGTTTTCTAGAGCGGCCTGTTTAACCACCAGCATCTCTGAGACAAAGTCACAGCAGATGTCATTGCTCAGACTGGTCCTTTTTCTTCACCCCATATTGTTGTGCTACAGAAGTGGGGTGTAGCCAGGAGACCACCCACAGGTCACAAGCTATGGCATCACAACTATCTGAAGATGTCATAACGAAGCCCATTTTGCGTGCTAACGAAAAAGTAAAGACTGATTAAAATTACATGAAACTGGGCTGGAGAGGTGGCTCAGCTGGTGCTAGCCTGGCAGTTGTGAGGACCTGAGTTTGATCCCCACAGTCCATGTAAGAAACACTGGGCCTGGTGACACACGCTTGGAATCTCAGTGCTGGGGAGGCAGAGGCAGGTGGTACCCCAGGGCTTGTTGACCACAGAGCCCAGCCTGGTGAGCTCCAGGCCAGTGAGGGTCCCTGTCTCAAAAGAAGATTGGCAGCACCCAGAGATGACACATGAGGTTGTCTTTGACCTTTTCTCTGTCTCTCTCTCCCTCACGCTCTCCCCCTCTCCCTCACGCTCCCCCCCTTTTTCTCTCTCTCTCTCTCTCTCTCTCTCTCTCTCTCTCACACACACACACACACACATATTATGAAATGAAAAAATCAGTTTCTTGCTTCCATGTGGTCATCTTCCATAAGCTGATAGCCTGTGTGTCCACTTGTGATGCGCAGTGTAGATGTGGACTATTTTGGTTGTCATAGAAAGTTCCTTTGAACAGTGTGCTCTCCCTCCAGTCGAACTGAGTGGATCCTGTTCTTACCTTCGGTCCTACCTGTCTGTCCAGGAATAAACAGGTTCATCTTCCCATCTTTTATCATCTGTAATGTAAGGCGACTGCCACTGACGCCTCACATCCGCAGTGCCTGCCATGTCCCGGAGCACAGTTAGCACTTGGCTACTATCTCAAGAGTTGGACTCACTCAAGTGCTTAAGAACTGACAGTTAAATGTTTAAATTTTTTTTATTATTTTTATTTTGTGTGTATGCGTGTTATGCCTGCATGTAGGTAAATGCACCCGTGTCATGCAATGCCCACCGAGGACAGAAGAGGCTGTCAGATCTCCTGGGACTGGAGTTATGGACAGTTGTTAGCTGCCATGTGGGTGCTGGGATTTGAACCCGGGTCTTCTGCAAGAACAGTCAGTGTCCTTAACTGCTGAGCCATCTCTTCAGCCCAATTCTGTTAATTTTTTAATGGGAGCAGTAGGTTTGGGATTTTGCTAAAGTGTATAAAGACTTATGATTAGGTTCAATGGGGCAAAGAATTTGAAAACAAAAATAGATGGGAAGAGTTGAGAATAGATAATCGTCTACACACTGTGAAGAAACAGGGAGGAGAGAAGAGAGGAAGCCAAGGTGGTTAACCCTGTGTGCGAGCTCAGACAAGCGCACCTCAGTGTGGCGTTTTGTCACAGCCAGCTCCTGCAGGCCTGCATGTCATAATCTTGGCTGAAACTCCTGTGCTAGAGTAAACAGAAATCTGAGTGTGTCAACAAATTATTTAATTAAACAGTAGGTGGCTGTGTGAAGACAGAGTTATAGTGTGTGATAAAATAGTGTGATGGAACGCTTTGGCCATGATGGACAGGGGAGAGCGAGACATTTAGGACAGAAAAATGCTGTTCTGGGGACCCGACTTCAGGCTGGGTTAGCTGTTGTGAAAAATGAAACTGGAAATGAGGAAATGGAATTGTATGATTCAGAAACAGACATCTGAACAAACCCTGGTGTTTAAGCAGTTGAGAAGGGACATCATTTCAGATGTACCACATCAGGCCTGGAAGTGGCTTTCAGAAGGGACTTGACTCTGTGCCACCAGCACGAATGTGGCAGTTACAGTTAAACGCTGAAGAGAAAAGAGACGTATAGAAGTTCAGAGAGGAACAGATGGCCAAGGCATTCGGCCTGTGAGGGTGCTAACACCACAGAGTTCATATTTCATTGCAAATTCGCAAATATTAAGGTATTAAAATGCATGAAACGTGGTCTGTATCCCAACTTGCTATATTTTTATCACCAAGTTAGGAGTTAGACTCTGTGGAAGGTTCCTAGATGTGTCAGCTATGCTGAGTCAGGGAGAGTGAGGTCCGTTGACTTTCTGTTTCCTGAAGCTGGGCCTCACTGATCACACGCTAAGCATCCTTCCCCCGGACGGCCCTGAGGGCCCCCTATTTCCAAAAAGGCAATGAGGATTACTTTGCTAGGTGACACTTTGATTCAAGGCAGCAGTAGGTCCAGTTAGGTTTCTACAGGGAAGGTGCTCTATTGGACTTCTTCTGTACATCACTCCCCCTAAGCCAACGTCAGTTCAGTGGGCTTGCTATGGGCAGCAGAGTATTGATGGTACCAGACCAGCAGGAAGACACATATTCTCCCTTTGTTTCCTTTTAGGCTTTGAGCTTCCTGTGTAGACTGACCAAGGCCACATGGTGAGAGCAAGGTCTTCAGTGGTTCACACATTTACTGCTCAAGGACCAGCTTAAGGTCAAAGTCACGAACTCTCCTGAACTGGCTGATCTCAGCCACACTTAGGTTTCTGTAGCCAGATTGTGACTCTGATTCCCTAGTGGAAAGCTTGTCAATCTGTTGGCTCCTGGTGTCAAGTTCTCCCAGATTCTCTGCAGTCTTCAGAATCTGTAGCATTCTGTCCTGGAAAATGGGCAGACATCTCTTCCTCACTACCTTTGACTTTCACCTGAATCATGATTGCACTATAAGCTGGGTGTGATGGTGCACACCTTTAGGTCCAGCACTTGGGAGGCAGAGGCAGGTGGATCTCTGTGAGATCAAGGCCAGTGTGGTCCACACAGTGAGTTCCACTCTGGCTGTGGGGAGATGTTATCTCAAAACTTGAAAAAAAAATTGCATGGGCCTGGGGATTCAGTTTGGTAATCTCAGCTACTCAGGAGGCTGAAGCAGGAGGATCACTGTAAATTCTAGGCCAGCCGCATCTACAAAGTGAGTTCTAGACCAGCTTGACAAATGAGTGAGGTGATATCTCAAAATTAAAAAAATGAAGGGACTCTGTGAGTTCAAGGCCAGCCTGGTCTACATAGTGAGTTCCAGGAGAGCCGGGGCTACAGGGAGACCCTATCTCAAAAAGACCAAAGAAAGAACAAAAAATGAAGGGAAAGGGCTGGAGACATAGTTCAGTGGCAGGTGGTTTGTATAGCGTGTGTAACACCCACCTACAGCAAAAAAGATTGTTCTTTTAATCCGTTCTGTCAGTCTGTGTTTTTGAATGTTTACTGCTCTTCTAGGTACTCATCTAGGAACTAGGAATAATGAATTCTTCTTTTTATGTTTTTAAAGAAACCGACTTCTTCAATAGCCTGGATTTGGGTTTATTAGCCTTGACTCCTGTTGACACGACTTAAATGCAGTGGAGTAAAACATCTGACTCTAACATCTGTGGGGGCATCAGCTGAGCATGTGGGGAGATAACTCAGAAAGCTCATGATGACCGCTGCCCCACTCCAAGGTATGTTTTGGAAAATAACATGTACAAGATGGAGGTTATTATGAATAATAATGTTTTGTTCTCAGGCTGTGGGCCATGGAAAAAGAGCACTAAGATCTTTGACCAAACAGAAGGAAACAAAATTGTGTGTCTAAGAATATAGTTATAGGTAAATTAATTTTACATATTTTCTTACATATTTATCTAGGTACAAACAGTAGAAATCGGCATATACATTTAGAAGAAGGATGGGCAAGGCAGTCTTCACTGTAACCCTTTGCTTTGCATCGTAGCCATGGTTTTCTGTTGTGACAAAGTACATAAAGTATTTGGAAGGAGATTTATGATAGTCCACAGTTTTGGAGATTTTAGCCTGTGATCAGTTGGCTTTTTACCTTTGAGCCTCTTGTGAGACAGTAGCACGGAGGAGAATGTGTGGAACCAAGCGTCTCCTATCATGGTAAGCAGCCAGCAACCGGAGAGGAAGGAACAGACTGGATTCTTGATACCCCCTTCAAAGGCATGCCCCAGTGGCCAGATGCTCCCTACTAAGCCCTGTCTCTCAAGTACATCCTAACAGGGTCATAGGCTGATCACCATGCCTTTAGCATTCGGTCTCTGTGGGGGTACCACAGGTTAGAGGATGTGTGATGTGTGTGTATATATATGAATGTGTGTGCATGTGCTTGTGTGCATGTGTGTGTTGGGATACAGGTAGTGGCCATGGGGGATGGGAGGACTATGAGGATGCATTGAAAGTACAGAATTCTTTGTCTTCTCTCATAGCTACTGAGTGGGCGTGGGCCATTCAGTAAATGTGTTCAGGAGTGATGGCAGCCAGGGAGATTTTGGACCAAGATGGGTCAAACAGACAGGAAGTTAGTTTAGCAAATATATGAACAGCAAACCTGCTGCTAATTTAATATGTAGCCTTATGTATTGGTATATAATACGTTGAGATACATGCACAGACACTTACATCATGTACCGATCGTGAATAGAAACGTCTTTCACACCCTCAAAGTTTGAAAAATGACACCAAGATTTCTTTATTTGGTAGCAGAATTAGGCCACCTTTATTGATAAGCTATGTATAAATAATCTATATGAAATTTGCTATGAAGCACAAGTGCATTTTTAAACTGATGAAATATGCGTTTCGTTTGCAGCCATACCTCTCTGTTGATTACATGGCTTTTTAAAAGCCAATAATTATTTCAGAATTCATCTAAAATACCGTGATTGAGTGGGGAGGTAAACAATCTGCCATTAGAAGATGAAGGGAATGTGTATATATATATATATGAAGCCGTCAGAGGGAGTGTGTTGGAGAATTACACAGATGCTCCAGGAAGAATTATGTAAATACCATATTTTGGAAACTTAAATGTAAAAACATTTCAAATGTGGCAGGCTATTAAATCATAAATATGCATCATTCTAAAAGCAATACTGAGCACTTCAACATTTCTCTTTAGGATAAACATAACTTAATGAAGATAGAAAACATTTCCAAAGCACCCTGATTGCCAAGTGTTTACATCAGCTACCACTGTTACAGCCAAAAATGAACATAGGTATTTAGGTAAAAGTAAATAAAGTATACTTTTTCCCCCTAGATAATAATCCTAAGAGCTTAAAAAATTCCCTATTCGGCTGGGGAGATGGCTCAGTCAGTCAAGGGCGTGCCCCATGAATTCAGAGCCCCATTCTCACATCAAAGCTGAGTGTGGGGATGTGCATCTGCATCTCAGCACTGGGGAGGAGCAGTTAGGGGCAGGTCCCCAGTGCTTACTGACCACCCATCCTAGCCATCAATGAGCTCTAAGTCCAGTGATAGACTGTATCTCAGAACACAAGGTGCAGAGAGATTGAGGAAAACACACATAGCACCCTGGCCTCCACACATGCACATGGTATGTACATACACACTTGGACAAATATACCTCAAACACACACACAAACACGAACACACACACAGAGTTACCTATAAAGTTGAGTAATAAGGTATATTTCCAGGATCTGTTACAGATATAAGTTCCTTTCATGGCTCTACCATGTGATAAATGTGGCCTCCTTTTATTGAGCACAGCTGCAGACCATAGGAGAAGGGCATTAGGTTCTAGGGCACACCTACTTAGGCTAGAAATTTAAGATAAATCATATCGAAGACAAATAGCAAATTCCGAACACTGTGACATGCACTTTGCTGGGGGTTTGAGCCAGCGACCCCCATGCAGTAATGATTGGAGATGAGTAAGTGCCATTCGCTAGCCCATGCTGCCCCCAGTGCCAGGGACAATCAGACGCAATGGGGAGCCTAGTCAAGCAGGGACTCATTTATTGCAGGTGTTACAGAGCTTATAAAGGCATCTGGAAATCCCCCCTCCCCCCCGAGGGTGTATATTAAGGATGGTCACACGCTGATCATGCAGTCCTCAGCAGTGCGGAAGTATCCTTCAGACTTTTAAAAGAAGTCAGGCTGTGCCCCAGTAACTTTCTCTCAGACCTCTGCAAGGTGGGGCCTTTAGGTCCCCACATATCCCCCTTTTATTTTTATTTTAAGGCCAGACTGACTTTATTTCACAGGTTACCCACCTCATAGGCAGCTCCCTGAGGAGAGATGGCTATCTCCTTCCTTGAATCTTATGCATTTTTGCCTGTCTTAGGTTGTGTTACCTCTGACCACGACTTGCCTGTCATTGGACCATGTACCTGGCCATGTGTATGTCCTGTCTTAGGAGTACTTGTCATGGGACATCTTACCCATCCTTGGCTAAAAATGCGTCATGATTAAGGGCAGCCGCATGGGTAATGCCAGCCCACGACAGTCTTAGTCTCTGCCTAATTCGGTTAGCCAAGTGTGGGCAACCTGAGGGGGTATATTCCTGGAAGAGTCTGTAATCATGAGGTGGGCCATGGCAGTTCCAAGGGTCCTCTGTCGCTGAATTATCTGGTAAAGACACTTAAAGATAAGCATTATCAAGAGAAACAAAGTAAGTCATGGCGTAGGACAAGTTGAAATACTTCTGAGACCATGT